GTGTGGATCCTCTCGTGTGTTTTCAGATGTGATGAATGACTGAATCTCTTGTCACAGTGTGCACACTTATAAGGTTTCTCTCCAGTGTGAATCCTCTCGTGCTGTTTTAAACAGTTTGCTGGAGTAAAAGTCTTTTCACACTCAAAGCACATGTACTCTCTCACACCAGTATGTATTTTCTGATGTTTTTTCAAATGTTGTAGATGTGAAAAACTCGTTCCACACAAATAACATGAATGTGTCTTCTCCTTTGTATGAACATTCATGTGCTGCTTCAGAACTGAAACCCACAAAAATGTTTTGCTGCATTGATCACATCCGTACAGTTTCTCTCTAGTGTGGATGTTCATGTGATTCTTAAGGTTTGATGAGTATGTGAAACTCTTCCCGCACTGATCACAAGTGAATGGTTTCTCTCCAGTATGAACTCTCATGTGACGCTCAAGACTTGTTTTGTGTGTGAAACTCTTTCCACACTGAGTGCAGGTGAAAGATTTCTGGGCTCTTCTTTTCCTTAAATCTTTCTGTTTGGTTTGAGAGCAACTCCAAGGTTTTTCTCCAGTTTTAACATGATTTTTTCTCCTCAACTTCACTCAATTCTTCGTTCTTGTTTTCTTCAATCAACTCTGAAATAAAAGTAAAAAATTTTCATTTTCAATAACTTTTAAGCAGCAGAGAAATGTGGACATAAAGGTCAACCCTTTCCTATTAAAACAAACTAAAATCAATATCTGCTTGAAGCGTTATAACCATCAGTATTATTAATGAAGAATCAGGGTTCATCAGAATTCATCAGGGTTTCTTAGTTGGTCATTTTGATGCAACCCTGAAACTCCATGAATGAGGTACATAACTGATCTTCTAATTATTATTTTTAGAACATTATAAATCACAAATCCCATTTCTACAGAGAGAACTATTAAATATGTTTGATCAACTACACAATTATCTAATATAATGTTATTGAAAAAAGTACCCTATTACAGCAAACCTAAATCTGCTTGAAGCTTTATAACCTTCTGCATTATTAATGAAGAATAAACACCAACCTGTTAGTTCTTCAGTGTCTTCAGTGTGTTTCATTCTGCAGGGTTTGTGGGTGGAACTTCACTGAATATGAATTTATGTCTGGAAGGCAGATTTGACAAATTTTAAAATAATTTACATAGTTAAGCATTTATGTATTAGAAGCAGAAGAGACCAGAGCCTTACAAATAAAAAAAAGTGTTGGCTCTTTGTAAATCATTATATTACTGTATTAAAAGTAACAGCATCAACACAAAGAGCAGATCAATTTAAAATGCTCATTCAGTAACACTGCAATCACACATGTGCTAATTCACACATTCTATGCATTTGTTTTGTCTGTCTTTCTGCTGTTAACATTTGTATCTGTATTTTTTTTCATTATGTTGCCGTTACTGAATGTGTCTGATCTGTGAGACGAATGAACACGAACCGATATCAAGTTTTGCTGCTGCTCTTTTTTATAACGTTATTCCTCTTTTGACATTTAACGTTATATTTCGCAGATCAAATTTGTTAGTTACTTTACGTGGTTAAAATTAAGCACAGCTGCTAAAAACTAAATATAATTAGTCCGTATGCCACGTGGGATATTTTAAATCTCTACAGAAATATGAAGAGATTTATAATATATACAACTGGAAATATTACATTTTTGCTTTGTGGTACTCTTTCTGTTTAAAGAAGATTTTATGATGACTGTCAATTACTGCACATATAAAACTATAACATGTTAATAACTTACTTTAATTGCTCTGAATGTAGTTGTTAGAAAATCAAACACGTTGTTCTAAGTGTTTAAGTCAGCAAACACAATAACAGTGCTGTACTCAATGAAAACAAGGCAGAAAGGACCTCGTATATGCTGCATAAACAAACTGTGTAAAGTGTATTTAACAGTTAAATAAGTGAAATACTGTGATCTGCTCACCTCTCCTCAGAAGACTCGACGCTGACGGAGTGAGCGCGCGCTACTGATGACGTCATCGCCGCGAGGCGGGATCAACAAAAACCCGCCAAATTCTATTTTTTTTCTTTTGCTTTATTTCTTTTTTTAAAACAAACATACAGAGATACTTAACGTCAAACAGAACACAAACAAAAAATGGGGGATACATATAACAACTATACATCATGGAGGGTAAAACATTACATTTTACAAATATTTTTTTTTAATATGAGAGACGTTTTTATAAATGTCTTGTCCCTAGTGATTGAAATCAATGAGCCATTCAATATTTTAAGTTCTTTACAAAAAAAAATTAAAAGAGGGAGTAATAGACATTATTTTTGCTTTATGTAGGCCTACATGGAACTTCATCTGATCCAGTATTACAGTTTAAAAAAAGGATCATAGATTCATCTATTGTAATTCTTTTATAAAATATATCAAAATCCAACATAGATACCTGCTTCCAAAAGTCTTCAGTATGTTTTCAGTTACAAAATAAATGTGTTTCATTTTCTAAACTACAAAAATATAATTTTGGTGAGACATCTTTTCTAAACTTTTTTCTACAGGGATAGTACCTATGCAATATCTTAAAATGTTATTCCTTTGCCTTATTTGGTAGTAAAAATGTATTAGTTGCCGACCATATTTTCTCAGTGAAGGTATGGATAAGAATTGTTTCCACTTTATGAGTGCTTTTGGGTGACAGCTGGCATCACGAGTAAGACATGTTCTAATATGTGAGTTATTACACTTAATATCCATGATATTAATACCTCCAATAACAAGATTTTGAATTTGTCGGACAGCTGAATTATAACAGAAGTATTTTCACACGGTAAAGCAATTTAGGGGAAATGCTTTTCACAACCAAATTATAATCTCTACAGGAAGAGCCAATCCCTGAGAAAGAAACACATTGCTGATAACTATAAATCTCACCGTTATATTCAATAAGTTTGAAATAAATATAATTCCCTTGTCAAACCATTATTTTTTAAATATACTCTTGTTTTTAGACAACACAAATGGGTTATTCCATAGTATACATGTGTGTGGAGAAAAATAATGCATAAAGGCTATTTTCCATGCGTCTACACTGCATGCCTGTATATTTACATCGCAAGTACATCTGCACTTTGTTGTTTATGATGAGTGAATTCACTGCAAAACAGCAGAATTCAACCAGTAGAAATACAGTGTTTCAGTGAGTACTAATCTGAACACCTCTGATTGGCTACTGCATACATATATCTAACAGAATAACATAATCGTTTGTGATTGGTTATAATGCGCAACGCTGTAAAAAAAGAAATATGAAGCAGCATGAGAAGACATAAATTTAATGCCACAATTTACACTTTTCATTTAATTTTCACTTTATTATACGTCACAAAAGAAAAAAAAGAGGGGAAATGTGCAAAAGATCACTCATCTTACTAAAAAAGGCTAATATTATCACTAATGGTATGGTGTTTTGCTTGCCCGTTATTACACATAGATCAACAACAATCAATTTCTGTCCAACTTCAAAAAGAAAAACAAATAAATTTTTTGGGGGGATATGGTATTTTTACATTTATTTGGCTGAATTTGTCAAAGTTGATGTAAACTGAATTTCCTTTAGAGGAGGCAGAAGGCTTTGCCCAGAGCTCCACACAAGCTAGAGCTGCCACTGTGTGCCATTCTTCTTCTACAGTATTATACTGAACTGACCAGCAACTTCAGTGATTAAGAAACACTCTTGATGTGTGATTCAGTTGCAAATTATGCCAAATTATAGAAAAGTTTGTGTTTTTTAAGGTATTTTGTGACTTTTCTGGATTTGATATTTTATAATAGTGAATTTATCATTTAAAAACATGAAGCAAACAGTAAAAATGAATGACTAATAAGCCAATAAGTGCTCCTCTGCTGCTTTCTACTGGTTAAAGTGGTAACTTGATGTATTATTTATGTTAAAATATTTGTTTGTTTACCACAAAATGTATTTGGTTATGCCATAAAATAACATTTAAATTGGATAATTTTTAGAGCTTTAAAGTGCTGTAAATTGTTGTGTTGTCACTGAAAAGTGCTTGAATTTCTCTCTCAAAAGTTTGAACAAACCCTGAAATTAATGAGGTAATAACATTTGACTATTTCACCATGGTATCTGAAGTTAGTATTACTTCTGGTTTTCTACATCAGCGCTGTTTGTTCTGTTTATAACAGATAATTCTGTGCAGAATTCAAGCGCTTCTTTCTGGATCTCGCAGCAGTGTGCAGTAACAGTGTCGCGAGATCAACACTGGTTCTGTTCTGAGCTCTGGTCAGTTTGCACGTGTTTGCGCTGCGCTCAGTTATTGGTCCGAGCTGATGAGCAGCTCAAACGAGTAGCGCTGTTTTGTTACACTTTTGTTTCGTTTGCCGTTTGAAGTTTCTCATGCAATAGAAATGGCAGCGATATATTATTGCAGAGCTCTAAAATTGTTTCCTATTACAGCAAATCTAAATCTGCTTGAAGCTTTATAACCATCAGCACTATTAGTGAAGAATGAAGAATAAACACCAACCTGTGTGTTCTTCAGTATCTTCAGTGTGCTGAAATAATCCTTAAGCATGTAAATTTATAATTTCCTTCAGTTTAATTTAAATGTGCAATTAAAATAAATACAAATAAATGTATATTTTAAAGTTTAGAATTAGACAGCCTTGCGTTGTGTAGACAATTGCATAGTGAAAATTACCCCAACGCACCACCTAGTGTCCAACCTACTCTAATACTACTATAACATGTTTAAATGTGAACAAGAGCATTAACAGAGATTAAAAGAGAACAACATTAAAGAAATCCTTTATTTATAACATGTACATGAAAAATCTAAAAGATTAGACACAACTATGGGACAAGGTCGTGCCGCAGCACGCAACAGTGAAAGGAACCTCAAGGTTGTAAATATGTGAAATTGTATAGGGCCCCATTCCTGTATTTTGCCTGGGGCCCCCAAATCACTAAATCCGCCCCTGTCTAAATGCTGTAGGACTCGTCTGCATTTTAGCTCGCATTCTCCAGTGATTTAATAAAGGGCATATGCTATGACACGCAAAACATGATTTTTGCTTCATATATATATTTTTTTAACACTGCATTTGTAACTTAAGTAACGTAATTTTATTGACATAAGTAACTGCAATCAAATTACATACATTTTAAATGTAACTCCTTACTTTACTGCGTTACCAGGAAAAGTAATTAGATTAGAGTAACGCGTTACTATGTATAGTACACCACAATATATTAGAACAGGTACCCCATAGTTTCAAAATACTTGCAGTCTAAATCATTTTAGTTTCTGCAAATGATTGCAATTATTTGTAAAAGTAATGACAGATCTATTCCTGTTACAGTAATGCTTACATTTCATCTGCACTTTACTAGAAACATTCTGATTCTGAAATCAAGGGATGCTGTAAATAATGATCAAACTCTGATGTGGTTTGTCTCCTGTTTTTTTTTGTTTTGTTTTGTTTTTCTTTTACAGTGAGAATTGTCATGGTACTCTTTCAGTTCAGCATCTGTAGGAAATGACTTTCTTATATCACGACGAATCTTCTCCTTTATGTGAATCTTCAGGTGTTTCTTCAGGACTGATGCTCAATGAAACTGTTTACTGCACTGGTAAAATGGTCTTTCTTCAGAACGTGTAGGCAGAGGTTGAGGTTCTTGAGGTTTGTTTTCTTGTTAATCTCTTCCTGCTTTGATTACAGATGATGGGCTCCATCCCAGTGTGGATCCTCATGTGAATCTTCAAGTCAAGTCAAGTCAAGTCACCTTTATTTATATAGCGCTTTTAACAATACAGATTGTGTCAAAGCAACTGAACAGCATTAATTAGGAAAATAGTGTCAATAATGCAAAATGACAATAGTAAACAAATTTTTCAGTTAAAGACAGTTCATCATTGAATTCAGTGATGTCAACATCCAGCTCAGTTTAAATAGTATCTTTGCAATCAAGTCAACGGTATCTTCAGACTTGATTAATATGTGCATCTGGGCAGGTGACATTAACTTTTTGGCTTCTGGTTTTCCTTTTTTGTTTTCCTTTCTCAGGTCTAAAAGAAACATTAAATCATGTGAGCTTTCAAATGAGAAAGAAAGTGAAGCCTAAAGTCAAGATCACTGATGAGCTCAAGAGACATTTCAATCTCATCAAATCTGCTCGACAGCTGCTGTGCACGATTATGATCTATTTTACTGTCATGAAGATGACTTGTGTTATAAATCACTAATTTGGTCATGAAACTCTAGATGGCACAGGCTTGACATGTAATCTGTAAGCAATCACATTATTTACTACACAACACAGGCTTCTTCAGCATGATGACTGAGGAATGAAGAATAAACACCAACCTGTTTGTTCTTCAGTTTCATGATGTTTCATTCTGCAGGTTCTGGATCACTCATCTTCTCTCTGTTCTCTCCTTCTGCTGTCAACCATGATTGCTTTCTGACTAGTTCTGCCAAAAACAAACGTTTCATTTTTAACAGACATGATGTGAGATGAACGATCAATATTTTTATAAATAAAAAAAGTGACATTTATCATGTAACTCAAGATCTTCAAACAGCGCAGGACAACATGGATCAGGTTTTGTAAAAGACACAGCAACACACTATTTTTCTACGTTAACAACACCAGCGTCGAATCGAGGCTTCATCTGGCACACCATTTATACTTAACACAAGCTCGGACACATCAGTTCAAATGTCACTAACTCTTGTTATTAGGAAATTGTAGGAAGTTAATAGTTAATAGGAAACACTTATTTCTTTAGTCAGGACTACCCATACATAGCCTGGAGGGTTTTTTTTTTTTTTAAATACTGGTGCATTTGATGTCTAGTGTGCACAAAACAAATGATGAAAAATGGTGAATTGTAATTAAAAAGTGAAAATTTGTGAAACAATTTTTAATTGAATCATGACCCCCAAAATCGATATGAATTGAATTGTGCAGTAAAGAAAGATTCCCACCCCTAGTAAACAGTATAAATGTGTAAGTCAGAATAATGAGAAACCTTCTCATACTAATGAGTTATGTATTATAATATTCAGAAAATAAATCTGATAATAACGAGATCTTTCAATGGGGTACTTCAACATCACATTATAATTAGAACGTTTTGTAACAAAGAGATACTGTATTATAATAATGAGATACTTTCTCGTAATGACTAAATATGATACTTTCTTATAACGACTTACATCTCAATAATAAGATACTTATAGATTATTTCTCAAAATGAGATATTTCTCATAATAATGACATATCTCATAATGAGATACTTTCTTGTAATCGCGAGATAATTGTCCATAATAATGAGATACTTTCTCTTAACTCTTTCCACGTCAAACACAGAATTTTCCAGGTTTCCAGGTTCTTGTTAGATGCTCTGGCGCGCTATTACACATCTCCTGAATGAGTCTAGAACGTCCCGATCAAAAACACAAGAGATCGTTCGTTTCTGCGTCTTCCTCGTTTATGTAAGCAGATGCATATGAAAAATAATGCGATCATCAACAATAAACGGCATATAGCTAAATGAAATGTCTACTGTTACAGAATGAAATGTCAATCCAGGAAGTGGTAAAGGCCTGTGAAGATTTGGGGTACTGATGAAAGCAATCTACTGCATCTTTACTTTGATCATTGTATTGAATATTATCCAGATGTATTATTTGATAAAAACATCTCCTGATTTTTGCTCAAAATGTTGCTTTTTTTATTAAAAATATATATATTCAAGTGTCAATTAAAAAAAAAAATCTTGAAGCTAGAATAAAACAGATTTTAAAAAATCGAGAGACTCTGTTCTTTATTTTGATGTGTTGCATGTTCAGATATTCATGCAACAAAATATTCTGGGGACCATGAAATTTTAGTGATTTTCCAGGTTTCCAGGTTCTTGTTAGATGCTCTGGCGCGCTATTACACATCTCCTGAATGAGTCTAGAACGTCCCGATCAAAAACACAAGAGATCGTTCGTTTCTGCGTCTTCCTCGTTTATGTAAGCAGATGCATATGAAAAATAATGCGATCATCAACAATAAACGGCATATAGCTAAATGAATTCTAGATTATTTCTCAAAATGAGATATTTCTCATAATAATGACATATCTCATAATGAGATACTTTCTTGTAATCGCGAGATAATCGTCCATAATAATGAGATACTTTCTCTTAACTCTTTCCACGTCAAACACAGAATTTTCCAGGTTTCCAGGTTCTTGTTAGATGCTCTGGCGCACTATTACGCATCTCCTGAATGAGTCTAGAACGTCACGATCAAAAACACAAACGAGGAAGACGCAGAAACGAACGATCTCTTATGTAAGCAAATGCATATGAAAAATAATGCGATCATCAACAATAAACGGCATATAGCTAAATGAAATGTCTACTGTTACAGAATGAAATGTCAATCCAGGAAGTGGTAAAGGCCTGTGAAGATTTGGGGTACTGATGAAAGCAATCTACTGCATCTTTACTTTGATCATTGTATTGAATATTATCCAGATGTATTATTTGATAAAAACATCTCCTGATTTTTGCTCAAAATGTTGCTTTTTTTATTAAAAATATATATATTCAAGTGTCAATTAAAAAAAAAAAATCTTGAAGCTAGAATAAAACAGATTTTAAAAAATCGAGAGACTCTGTTCTTTATTTTGATGTGTTGCATGTTCAGATATTCATGCAACAAAATATTCTGGGGACCATGAAATTTTAGTGAAAATGCTGGTGGTGGCTGGCAACTTTTTTTCAAAAACGCTGGCGGGGAAAGAGTTAATTATTACTCGCTTCTCTCCGGTGTGGATTTTCACGTGATCGTTAAGGGTCCCTTTTAGTCTGAAGCTCTTCCCACAATGATCACATGCATGTGGCTTCTCTCCAGTGTGGATCCTCTCATGTATTTTCAGATATTCTGACCGACTGAATCTCTTGTCACAGTGTGAACACTTATAAGGTTTCTCTCCAGTGTGGATCCTCTCATGCAGTTTTAAACAGCTCGCAAATTTAAAAGTTTTCCCGCACTCAAAGCACATATAATCTTTTACACCAGTATGTATTTTCTGATGTCCTTTTAAACTTTGCAGCATTGAAAAACTCTTTCCACACACAGAACATGAATGTGGCTTCTCCTTCGTATGAACTGTCAGGTGTGTCTTCAAGTGTGATGCAGTAAGAAATGTTTTGCCGCAATGATGACAAGCGTGCGGCTTCTCTCCGGTGTGGATCCTCATGTGCCCACTAAGGTGTGCTTTCTGTGTGAAGCTCTTCCCGCACTGATCACATGTGAATGGCTTCTCTCCAGTATGAACTCTCACGTGAAGCTCAAGACATTGTTTGTTTGAGAATCTCTTTTCACACTGATTGCACATGAACGGTTTCTCTCCGGTGTGGATCCTCATGTGAAGCTCCAGATTTTGTTTATTTGGGAAGCTCTTCCCGCACTGATCACATGTGAATGGCTTCTCTCCAGTATGAACTCTCACGTGACGTTCAAGATGGGATTTACAAAAAAATCTCTTTCCACATTCATGACATTTGAATGGTTTCTCTCCAGTGTGGATCCTCATGTGACTCTTAAGGTGTCCTTTCTGTGAGAAGCTCTTCCCGCACTGATCACAGGTGAACGGTTTCTCTCCAGTATGAACTCTCATGTTAAACTTAAGAATACGTTTGGTTTTCAAACTATTTCCAGACTGAGTGCAGGTGAAAGATTTCTTGCCTCCTTTTCTTTAAAAATGTCTTTTTAGTCTTTGAGCGACTCAAATGTTTTTCTCCAGGTTTGTCATGATGTTCCTCCTCCTCTTCACTCAGTTCTTCACTCTCCTCGTTCTCTTCTATGAGGCCTGAAATGAAAGATGTCAGCACTAATGTAATAGCAGAAAGTAGATGTGCTACTTAAGACAGGTTTTGTGGTCCAGTCT